CAGTACTTTGGGAGGCCAAGGTAGAAGGATCTCTTGAGTCTACCAGTTTGAGACCAGCTCAAAATATAGGGAGACCTCATCCCCTACTGTGAAAAAAAAATTAAAAAAAAGATATGCCACAAACTGAAAGTAATAAAAATAACTCTTGTATAGGTACAGGAACAAATCACAGTAGAATATGACAGAGCTGTTTCTTGGACTTACGTATTTGAGGAACTTCACATATGTTACACGTGGTACCATATAGGCAAAAGAGACAGAACAGACTAAGTTTAGTATGATAGTATCGTGAACATTGGCTCACTATGTGGACAAAAGTTAGGCAGGATCTTAAATACAGAAGTGGCTGCACGATGGCTCACACCTGTAATCCCAGGCCTTGGGAGGTTGAGGCGGGTGGATCACAAGGCTGCAGCCCGAGACCAGCCTGACCAACATGGCGAAACCCCGTCTCTACTAAAAATACAAAAATTAGCTGGGTGTGGTGGCGGGTGCCTGTAATCCCAGCTACTCAGGAGGCTGAGGCAGGAGAATCGCTTAAACCCAGGAGGAGGTTAGCAGTGAGCCAGATCATACCATTGCACTCCAGCCTGGGGTGACAGAGCAAGAATCCATCTCAGAAAGAAAAGAAAAAAAGAAAACAAAAAGTGGAGTGCAAAATGCATTAAAGATCTAAATGTGGAATGGCAGGACTGTAAATGCAATAGAAGACAAAATAATGACACTGTATCTGTTACTTTGGGTGAAGAAAGATTTCTTGAACAAGACCTAAAAAGCCTGAACAATAAGGGAGGAAATCAGTGAGTCTGATTACTCATAATTGGGAATTTCATTAAATGAAAAAATATAAACAAAAAGATAAGAGATCAAGGAGATATTTTCTGTGTACAAAGCTGATGGTATTTAGTGGCTGGAATAGAAAGAGAACAGCTACAAATTAGCAAGGAAAAGTAATCCTGCTAGAAAATAGTAAAAGGATATAAAATATAATTCAAAGACTGATAGAATCCCACAGATGAGAGTGCATAAAGAGATATTCAAACTTAACTAGGAATCAGAGAAATTCAAGTTGCAAAGACAGTGCAAACTCCGCTCTCTGCCTCAAGTGATTCTCTCCTGCCTCTGCCTTCCGAGTAGCTGGGATTATGCATCCGCCACCACGCCTGGCTAATTTTTGTATTTTAGTAGAGATGGTGTTTCACCATGTTGGCCAGGCTGGTCTCGAACTCCCGACCTCAAGCGATCTGCCCTCCTCGGCCTCCCAAAGTGCTGGGATTACAGCATGAGCCACTCATGCCCGGCTCACATCTGGCTAATTTTTAAACTCATTTTTTTGTAGAGACAGATGTCACTGTGTTGCTCTAAGCTGGTCTCAAACCTCTGTCCTAAGCACCCTCCCACCTCCCAAAGTGTTAACATTGCCCGGGCGTGAGCCACACCACGCCTGGACTGCTTGAAACCTTTAGAACAAAATCCAAATCACAGTCCTCTGGCTCAACACACTGAGTTGCTTCCCACCCCAGACAGAGACAAACTCACTATCTACATATATCTAGTCCCAGCTGTGGTAGGCAGAATAATAGTCTCCAAAGATGTCTTTGTCCTAATCCCCAGAAGCTGTGACTATGTTATGTTATGTGGCAAGGGGGAATTAAGGTTGCTAATCAGCTGACTTGAGGGTGGGGAAAATTCCCTCTGATTCATTGGGTGTACCAATGTAATCACTAGGGATTTTTGTTTGTTTGTTTGTTTCTTTTTTCTTTTGGGACAGAGTCTTACTCTGTTGCCCAGGCTGGAGTGCAGTGGCGTGATCTAAGGTGACTGCAGCCTCCGCCTCCTGGGTCTGGCGGATTCCCGTGCCTCAGCTCCCAAGTAGCTGGGATTGTACAGGTGCACACCAACACAACCAGTTATTTTGTATTTTTGGGAGAGATAGGTTTTGCCATGTTGGCCGGGCTGGTCTTGAACTCCTGACCTCAAGTGATCCTCCTGCCTCGGCCTCCCAAAATGCTGGGATTGTAGGTGTGAGCTACCATGCCAGCCACAAGCGTCTTAGAAGTGGAAAGAGGAGGTAGAATGTGTTAGCCATGATGCAAATGTGAGGAGGACTTGACTAGCCATTTTTAAAAGTTGAACATAGACTGGGATCACAAGGGCTGCCAGTAGAAGCTGGAAAGGCAAGGGGATTTTCCCCAGAGCTTCCAGGAAGGAATGTAGACCTGCCTGGACATGTTGATTTTTAGCCCAGTGAGACCCATTTTGAACTTGTAAATCTCCAGAACCGTGTGATAATAAATTTGTGTCGCTTAAAGACACCAAGCGTGTGGTAAATTGTTGTAGCAGCCGTAGCAAACAACTCTACCAGCAAGCACTCTCTCCTGTCTCTTCTCTATTCTACCCTAGACCTAGTCACCCCATTGCTGTTCCTCAAGAATATTCTATGCCAAACCCTCTCCAGCTTCAGGACCTTGCACTTACAGTTCCCCAGCTTGAAGCAATTTCTGCATTGCAACCACTTCCTTGGAGGATAGTTAGTAACATGGGGCCTGGGATTGTGAAGAAATGGGTGAGACCTCTTGCCGCGGTCATGATGGAGTAACAAGAGACCAGACTTATCCTCATGCTTTCAGCACTTTTTTTTTTTTTTTTTTTTTTTTTTTTGAGACGGAGCTTTGCCTTTGCCCCCAGGCTGGAGTGCAATGGCACGATCTCGGCTCACTGCGACCTCTGCCTCCCGGGTTCAAGCAAGTCTCCTGCCTCAGCCTCCCGAGTAACTGGGATTACAGGCGTGTGCTACCATGCCTGGCTAATTTTGTATTTTTAGTAGAGAGACAGAGCTTCCATGTTGGTCAGGTTGGTCTCGAACTCCTGACCTCAGGTGATCTGCCCACCTCGGCCTCCCAAAGTGCTGGGATTACAGGCAGGAGCCAACGTGCCCAGCCTGCTTTCAGCATCAAAACACAAAACACATGAAACAAATGGCTTTTAGATATTGACAATAGGCAGTTTGGGAGAGTGATCCTTGAGAAAGGAACAAAGTAAGCCCTATGAATGGACATTGCCTAGAACTTTCAGACCTCAGCATAAGGCGGAGTCTCGCTCTGTCACCCAGGCTGGAGTGCAGTGGCCGGATCTCGGCTCACTGCAAGCTCCGCCTCCCAGGTTCACGCCATTCTCCTGCCTCAGCCTCCTGAGTAGCTGGGACTACAGGCGCCCCCCGACCTCGCTGGGCTAGTTTTTTTGTATTTTTTAGTAGAGACGGGGTTTCACCGGGTTAGCCAGGATGGTCTCGATCTCCTGACCTCGTGATCCGCCCGCCTCGGCCTCCCAAAGTGCTGGGATTACAGGCTTGAGCCACCGCGCCCGGCCCATTTCTTTATTATTACACCTTTTACCAAGGTCACTCTGAGTTAGTCTATCTTGTATTGTGCAGGTGGGAATGAATTTTATTTAGAGTTAACTGCACTAGGAATTTTCCTAGTTATTATTAAAAACAGTCACAGAATATTGTTGCTCTTTGCTTATATTACTTCCTTCTAAATTCCCTTTCTCTGAAATATCAGGTGCTACAGTTTTGGGTTTTTTTCCCCTAGTTTCTTGCTGAAGAGGTTTTAAAGAATCCCATTCCCTCCTCCCTGCTCCAGGACTTCTGTCCCTTGGCTATTCTTAACTTTACCTACTTCTTTGGCTTCTCCACTGGAACCTTTCCAGTGACACTCAAACATGCTGTACTCTTTAACAATCCTCCAGTGACTTCACTTCTCTTTCCACTTTTCATCCTGCCTGCTACCCTTCTGAGCCAACCTTCTTGGAAAAACTGCTGTACATCCAGTGTCTACTTTCTCACTTCCCATTCATTGTTTCAACGTACTCCAAAATGGCTTTCCCCCCAATTATCCAGCAAAAGTGCTTTTGCTAAGGTCACTGGTGAAATTCATATTGCTAGATCCAGTGGACTTTTCAGTCTTCATCTAACTGTTCATTTGACTACCTCAGCCATTCCTGTGGACAACGGTGACATTACCCTGTCAACTCCTCAGTCCCCTTTGCCAGGTTTTCCTCTAGCCTCACTGCCAACTCCTCAGTCCCCGTGGCCAGCTACCCTGCTCTAGTCAACCCCTAAATGTTGGAGTTCCTCAGATCTTTATCTCACACTACATTCTCCTTAAGCAATTTCATTCATTCTATGGCTTAAAGTACCATTTCTGTATACAACTTCAAAATTTATACTTTTTAGTTCCAGAGATACAACTGCCTTGTAAACCTGGTAAGTCTAAAAACCATGCTCCTGAACTCACTCTTTTTTTCCCCCAGGGATCCTGCACACATCTAGCCTTTTTTGCTAGAAGTCCTTTCTTCTTCCTCACTTTCCACTTCCAAACCATGACTACATCCTGTCAAACTTCACCTGTACTCTATCCCCTTCTCTCCACTTTTATGACCATCACCTTCATTCACTTAGACGACCATGTCACTGCACAAGCTATAAATGTCCTCAGAGGCTGCTCTGTCTCTGGAGTAGCGATTCTGTTGTTTCTTTACTTTCTTAATAAACTTGCTTTCAAAAATATCCTGAGATATTCTTTCCCATTTCCCACAGTTAAAATCAAGTTTATGGCCCAGTGGGAGGATTACCTGAGGCCAGGAGTTTGAGACTAGTCTGGGTAACATTGTGAGACTCTGTCTCTAAAAAAATACAAAAACATGCTGGGTATGGTGGCACATGCCTGTAATCCTAGCTACTGGGAGGCTGAGGCAGGAAGATGGCTTAAGAACAGGAATTTGACACTGCAGTGAGCTATGATCGCTCCACTGCTCTCTAGCCTGGGCAACAGAGTGAGACCATCTTAAAAAAAAAAAAATTCAGCTTTATGTGGTATATCTTGTGTTGTGTTATGTCTCTCTGAATGCTATACGTTTCTTCATGGCGTATCACAATTGGCATCTTGTATAATTACTGTATAATGTCCTGTCTTTCCTAGTAGACAGGCACAAAACTCTACAAGGCAGTGGCTATTTTATTCACTACTGTATCTCCAGCACCAAGCACAGTGCCAGGCTAGGTGAACAACGAATGATTTGTGTATTTTTTTCTCTCCTAAAGAATTATGTTCCATAAATAATAAAAAGCGTTGTCTTTTTAGCTTATGTCCCAATCAACAATTGTTTTTCATTCTCAATATTCCCTACAAACACATTTGTTTAGTATTTTTCTGATTAATAAAATATAACTCCCCCTCCAAAAAGATGCCCTTTCCTCTTAAAATGAATATTAAAGAGATTTCCAACTACCAGATATTTTCATAACTGATACACAAAACAAGGTTTTTAAACACCAGGTTGTTTTTCTCATATTAAATATTGGTGACATAAAATGGTATCATCTGCAAGACAAACTATTAACACTTGGAAAGAATACTTTTCTAACTCTAAAATGGATTCTATGTGGGGGGAAAAAAAGAGTTTTAAAGGCACGATTTAAAATGTGAAATCCTTCTGAAGATATGCAATTTATTGGCCTTTTCAGTTTATCTGCAGTGATCTTTTATAGAACAAAAATGCAAAATGTAAGAAAGTAAAGTATCCTAAAGCAGAATCCCAAAATGGAAAAGTAACATGCAAAACCGGTACACCAGAAATACTATGAAATACTGATGTCACATTGCCTGGACCGTGTTTTTTTTTTTTTTTTTTTGAGACGGAGTGTCGCTCTTGTTGCCCAGGCTGGAGTGCGATGGCATGATCTCAGCTCACTGCAACCTCCGCCTCTGGGGTTCAGGCGATTCTCCTGCCTCAGCCTCCCAGGTGGCTGGGATTATAGGCGCCCACCACCACACCTGGCTAATTTTTTGCATTTTTAGTAGAGATGGGGTTTCACCATATTGGCCAGGCTGGTTGTGAACTCCTGATCTCAGGTGATCGCCCCGCCTCGGCCCCCCAAAGTGCTGGGATTACAGGCATGAGCCACCATGCCCGGCCGCTTAGACACTTTTTTAAATCACTTGTTAAAGAAATACATTAAAATGAAAATGTTTTGGTGCCGTTCAAATACTGTCACTTAAAGCTCTGGTTTTTAAGAAGGATATAATATAATACCAGAGAAATCTGCTTTGAATTTTGGAAGGCTTTTTCACTCTAAAGCAACTGCCTTTTGAATAGGCATAATCAAAAAATGCAGTGCAAGATGATTCACAAATAGTGAAAAATAAAGCGATAGTCTTCCGTCATTTTGTTAGGGTTTCCTAATAAGGTTAAGTTCTCTTTCAGCATCCCCTCTTAATCAAAGGCAGTTTTTGGTTTGTTTGGTAATACATACAAATTGCTTCATTCCACATCTGTCATTTCTAGTCCATCACTTTCTTTGACGTATACCACTGAACCCAAGGCTTTCTCAGAAAGAGATCTTGTGCCAGTCCCTTTAATCCTTGAAAAGTTTTCTTGATTTGTGTCTTCCAATCTTATTTTCTTGGTGTTTTGAAATAACTGAGTTGTTGGTTCCAATCTGCTTTTTTCAGTCCCTCGTATTAAGTGATCATCCACTTTTGAATCCATATGCATAGCAGATACCTGAGTAGCAGATTTACTAAGTGAAAATCCCATTGGGATAGCTGAACAAATATGGAAGTAATTTTTAAGTAGTGGAAGTGTTTCTTCAACTTGATTACTGAGGGGGGAAAAAAAAAAAAGTAAGTGAATGCAGCAGGAATTTCCCTAACTTCATGGCAATGTTTGTTTGAATGAAATTCCATGGTAATACTAGAAATATAAAGTAAAATTGTCTCCCACCTTTCAGTGTTTACATTTTCTTTGTGGGAGGGTTTGTAGGTTCTAAAGATTTCTTTGAAAGTCTTTTTAAAAGGAATTTATCTGATTTTATGTTTTATCACCTTTCAGAAAATAGTAGAGATTCTCTTAATCCTTTCATTCTTGCTAGGAAACCTCTTACTAATGGGCTAAAGAAATAACTACTGAAGGCCAAATACTCTGCTAGTATTTTATTTTCTGCAAAAAATATATTCTATAAAGACACTTGTGATTGGCTGGGCGCCGTGGCCCACGCCTGTAATCCCAGCACTTTGGAAGGCCGAGGCGGGCAGATCACCGGAGGTCAGGAGTTAAAGACCAGACTGGCCAACATGGTAAAACCCCGTCTCTACTAAAAATACAAAAATTAGCTGGGTGTGGTGGTGTGCACCTGTAATCCCAGCTACTCAGGAGGCTGAGGCGAGAGAATCACTTGAACCCGGAAGACGAAGGTTGCCGTGATCTGAGATCGCGCCACTGCACTCCAGCCTGGGCAACAAAAGCGACGCTCAGAAAAAAAAAAAAAAAAAAAAAAAAAAAAAAAAAAAAAGCGCCCAATCCGTTAAGAGAGATGATTGGCCAGGCGCGGTGGCTCAAGCCTGTAATCCCAGCACTTTGGGAGGCCGAGGCGGGCGGATCACGAGGTCAGGAGATCAAGACCATCCTGGCTAACACGGTGAAACTCCGTCTCTACTAAAAATACAAAAAACTAGCCGGGCGTGGTGGCGGCACCTGTAGTCCCAGCTACTTGGGAGGCTGAGGCAGGAGAATGGCGTGAACCTGGGAGGCGGAGCTTGCTGTGAGCTGAGATACGGCCACTGCACTCCCGTCCGGGCGACAGAGCGAGGCTCCGTCTCAAAAAAACCGAGAGAGATGATCATGTAGCATGGAGGGAGGCCTTGGGAAGTTTCCCAAAGGAGGGGAGCCTAGGTCAGGGTTGCGCTTTCAAAGATGGGCAGGAATTTGGTAGGCAGAGTTGACCAGGATGGCAGAAGGGCAGGCTTCCTGCACAGTAGAGGTCTGAGAAAGCCCAGGGCTTACTGGAGACAGTCATCTACCCAAGACGCTCTAGTAGCAACCGAGATCTGGAGCAGATTCCACAGCTTGGAACGAAAGCACTCACCCTCCCCCACTTTTTTTTTTTTTTTTGAGATGGAGTTTCACCCTTTCACCCAGGCTGGAGTGAAGTGGTGTGATCTCAGCTCACTGGACCTCCACCCCTCAGGGTTCAAGTGATTCTCCTGCCTCAACCTCCTGAGTAGCTGGAATTACAGGCACCCGCCACCACGCCCAGCTAATGTTTGTATTTTTAGTAGAGATGGGGTTTTGCCATGTTGGCCAGGCTGGTCTCGAACTCCTGACCTCAGGTGATCCAGCCACCTCAGCTCCCAAAGTGCTAGGATTACAGGCATGAACCACTGTGCCCGGCCTCACCCACTTTTAGAATGTATTATGTCTTTAATATTTAGTTACTGTATCTTTGATAGTTTACAATTTCATACTCATCGAACTCTAATTACTGACTGAACATTTCTAAAGAATCATCTTGAAACCTTATTTATCCATATTTGTGATTGAATATCAGTGTTTATAACAAAACAGAGTCCTGGGTCTACTGTAGTAGCCTAAATATAGTAGTTTCTGACATACTAATATAACAATTAGGTAAATAGTATATATTTGGCTTTCTGGGAATCAAATACAACTTAGCTAAATTTTTAAAGATCTCTGATGAAATTCTGAAATATGGGTATACTTGTTTTTTAGATTTGGAACTTGAAGATGAATTTTTCTTCCTCATCAAAAGAATATCTAATACTGCCTTCAAATTAATAAAATTGAGTTTATTCTATTATTTGGTTTCTCTTTTTGTTAGAAAGGAAATACTCCTGTCAAATGCATAACTTGAATCTAAACCTGAGGAAACAATCAGATAAACCAAAACAGAGGTATCCTCTATGAAACAAATAGCTTCCACCTAAAAATGTCAATGTTATGAAAGACACAGAGAGGCTGAGCAGCTTCAGATTAAAGGAGGCTAAAGATACATTATTTCAAATGCAACCAATGCTCTTGAGTTGGGAAGGGGATGGAATGTACTACAAAGATCATTACTTAGATAACTGCAACATTTGGATATTTGACAATATTAGATGATAATATTGGATCAATGTGATAGATGCCATGAATGTGATAATTATATATAATAATATTATATATTATATATTATTAATGTGATAATTATATAAGTCAATGTCCTTGTTCTTAGGCAATACATACTGAAATAGTTGGGGGTGAAGAATCATATCTGCAAGTTGCCCTCAAATTGTTTAGCAATAGAGAGATAGATACATAGATACAGAAAGAGAGTAAAATATGCAAAATGCTAACAACTGTTAAATCTAGGAGGTAAAGCTTAAAAAGTTGTTCTATGTATTATTCTCATTACATTTCTGTAGGTTTAAAACTTTTTGAAAGTACAAAATTGAAAAAAGGTTTTTAAAAAACACAAAACTCTATAAACATTACATTTGAAATCAACAAACGTAAAATAATGATAACTTATATAATTATCAATTTGCACATTAAATTTCAATCTAATAAAAGGACTGAGGAGGAACCAAATACAGTAGGGTAGACTTGGCCCTGTGAGTCTCAACTTAACTTCCCCAGAGTTGAGGACATGAAGGGTGAACAAGTCTATTGGGGGCCTCTTTGGACTGGCATTTAGGTTGCCATTCAAGAAGAAATCTGGAATATACATGTAAGAATAAAGGTCCGTAAAGAGATAAATCAATCTGGACAAAAAGAACAAAGAGGCTTTCTTTACCAGATATTAAGATATGCTACATGGCTGGGCACAATGGCTCATGCCTGTAATTCCAGTACTTTGGGAGGCCAAGGTAGAAGGATCTCTTGAGTCTACCAGTTTGAGACCAGCCTGGGCAACATAGGGAGACCTCATCCCTATCAGAAAAAAATTAAAAAAAAAAAAAGATATGCCACAAACTGAAAGTAATAAAAATAACCTTGTATAGGTACAGGAACAAATCGTCAGTAGAATATGACAGAGCTGTTTCTTGGACTTACGTATTTGAGGAACTTCACATATATTACACGTGGCACTATAGGGCAAAAGAGACATAACAGACTTAGTATGATAGTATCGTGAACATTGGCTCACTATGTGGACAAAAGTTAGGCAGGATCTTAAATACAGAAGTGGGCTGGGCGCGATGGCTCACACCTGTAATCCCAGGCCTTTGGGAGGTTGAGGCGGGTGGATCACAAGGTCAGGAGTTCGAGACCAGCCTGACCAACATGGCGAAACCCCGTCTCTACTAAAAATACAAAAATTAGCTGGGTGTGGTGGCGGGTGCCTGTAATCCCAGCTACTCAGGAGGCTGAGGCAGGAGAATCGCTTAAACCCAGGAGGTGGAGGTTGCAGTGAGCCGAGATCATACCATTGCACTCCAGCCTGGGTGACAGAGCAAGAATCCATCTCAGAAATAAAAGAAAAAAAGAAAAAAACAAAAAGTGGAGTGCAAATGCATTAAAGATCTAAATGTGAATGGCAGGACTGTAAATGCAATAGAAGACAATGAAGGACACTGTATCTGTTACCTTGGGGTGAAGAAAGATTTCTGAACAAGACCTAAAAAGCCTGAACAATAAGGGAGGAAATCAGGTGAGTCTGATTACTCATAATTGGGAATTTCTATTAAATGAAAAAAATATAAACAAAAAGATAAGAGACTGGAAGGAGATATTTTCTGTGTACAAAGCTGATGGTATTTAGTGGCTGGAATAGAAAGAGAACAGCTACAAATTAGCAAGGAAAAAGTAATCCTGCTAGAAAAATAGGCAAAGGATATAAAAATATAATTCAAAGACTGAGGAATCCCAAACAGATGAGAGTACATAAAGAGATATTCAAACTTAACTAGGAATCAGAGAAATTCAAGTTGCAAAGACAGTGCAAACTCCGCTCTCTGGGTTCCCATGATTCTCCTGCCTCAGCCTTCCGAGTAGCTGGGATTACAGGCATCCGCCACCACGCCCGGCTAATTTTTGTATTTTTAGTAGAGATGGTGTTTCACCATGTTGGCCAGGCTGGTCTCGAACTCCCGACCTCAAGTGATCTGCCCTCCTCGGCCTCCCAAAGTGCTGGGATTACAGCATGAGCCACCATGCCCGACCACATCTGGCTAATTTTTAAAACTCATTTTTTGTAGAGACAGATGTCACTGTGTTGCCTAAGCTGGTCTCAAACTCCTGTCCTCAAGCAATTCTCCCACCTCCCAAAGTGCTGGGATTACTGGCGTGAGCCACCACGCCTGGACTGGTTTGAACCTTTTAGAACAAAATCCAAATCACAGCAGTCCTCTGCTCAACACACTCGAGTTGCTTCCCACCTCAGAGACAAAACCAAATTATCTACATATCTAGTCCCCAGCTGTGGTAGGCAGAATAATAGTCTCCAAAGATGTCTTTGTCCTAATCCCCAGAAGCTGTGACTATGTTATGTTATGTGGCAAGGGGGAATTAAGGTTGCTAATCAGCTGACTCTGAGGGTGGGAAAATTCTCCTGGATTCATTGGGTGGTACCAATGTAATCACTAGGGATTTTTGTTTGTTTGTTTGTTTTTTCTTTTTGGGACAGAGTCTTACTCTGTTGCCCAGGCTGGAGTGCAGTGGCGTGATCTAAGGTGACTGCAGCCTCCGCCTCCTGGGTTCAAGTGATTCTCGTGCCTCAGCTCCCAAGTAGCTGGGATTACAGGTGCACACCAACACAACCAGTTACTTTTTGTATTTTTTGGGAGAGATAGGGTTTTGCCATGTTGACTGGGCTGGTCTTGAACTCCTGACCTCAAGTGATCCTCCTGCCTCGGCCTCCCAAAATGCTGGGATTGTAGGTGTGAGCCACCATGCCTGCCACACAAGCGTCTTTAGAAGTGAAAGAGGGAGGTAGAATGTGTTAGCCATGATGCAATGTGAGGAGGACTTGACTAGCCATTTTTGGTGTTGAACATAGACTGGGATCACAAGGGCTGCCAGTAGAAGCTGGAAAGGCAAGGGGGATTTTCCCCTAGAGCCTCCAGAAGGAATGTAGACCTGCCTGACATGTTGATTTTAGCCCAGTGAGACCCATTTTGAACTTGTAAATCTCCAGAACCGTGTGATAATAAATTTGTGTCGCTTAAAGACACCAAGCGTGTGGTAAATTGTTGTAGCAGCCGTAGCAAACAACTCTACCAGCAAGCACTCTCTCCTGTCTCTTTCCCTTATTCTACCCCAGACCTATCACCCCATTGCTGTTCCTCAAGAATATTCTATGCCAAACCCTCTCCTCTCCTGTCTCTTTCCCTTATTCTACTCCCAGACCTATTTCACCCCATTGCTGTTCCTCAAGAATAGTTCTTATGCCAAACCCTCTCCAGCTTCAGGACCTTGCACTTACAGTTCCCAGCTTCTGCCACTTCTGCATTGCAAACCACTTCCCTTTGATATTAGTAACATGGGCCTGGGATTGTGAAGAATGGAGCAGACCTCTGCTGCTAGTCAAGACGGAGTAACAAGAGACCAGATTTATCCTCATGCTTTCAGCATCTTTTTTTTTTTTTTTTTTTTTTTTTTTTTTGAGACGGAGTTTTGCTCTTGCCCCCCAGGCTGGAGTGCAATGGCACGATCTCGGCTCACTGCGACCTCTGCCTCCCGGGTTCAAGCAAGTCTCCTGCCTCAGCCTCCCGAGTAGCTGGGATTACAGGCGTGTGCTACCATGCCTGGCTAATTTTGTATTTTTAGTAGAGACAGAGTTTCTCCATGTTGGTCAGGTTGGTCTCGAACTCCTGACCTCAGGTGATCTGCCCACCTCGGCCTCCCAAAGTGCTGGGATTACAGGCAGGAGCCAACGTGCCCAGCCTGCTTTCAGCATCAAAACACAAAACACATGAAACAATGGCTTTTAGATATTGGACAATAGGCAGTTTGGGAGAGTGATCCTTGAGAGAAAGGAAATAAAGTAAGCCCTATGAATGGACATTGCCTAGAACTTTCAGACCTCAGCATAAGGAGGAAACTATCTGATTTAAAAAAAGGAACACAGCATCAGTGAGCTGTGGAACAAGATCAAGTGGCTTAACACATATAGAATTGTAGTCCCACATTTTTTTGGGGGGGGATCAGGAAGAGGACAGTGGAAAAAAAAAAGTAATAACAGAGGTTTTTGTAGTGAAGCTTTTGAAATGATGGAAAAACTAAGGGACTAGAAAATCCAGACCTTAGAAGGTGTCTGTCACAAGAGAGAGAGCGAGCACAGGGTACTATATAAGGCTTAGCCTGAGCCAGGCACAGTGGCTCATGCATATAATCCCAGCACTTGGGAGGCTGAGGTGGGCGGATCACTTGAGTCCAGGAGTTCAAGACTGGCCTGGGCAACATGGTGAAACCCCATCTCTACAAAAACATACAAAAATTAGCTGGGCATGGTGGCACATACCTGTGGTCCCAGCTACTCAAGAGGCTAAGGCAGGAGAACTGCTTCAACCTGAAAGGTGGAGGGTGCAGTGAGCTGAGATCATGCCAACATACTCCAGCCTGGGTACTGGGCAACAGAAGGAGACTGTCTTTAAAAAAAAAAAAAAAAAAAAGGCCGGGCGCAGTGGCTCACGCCTGTAATCCCAGCACTTTGGGAGGCTGAGGTGTGTGGATCACGAAGTCAGGAGATTGAGACCATCCTGGCTAACACTGTGAAACCCCGTCTCTACTAAAAATAATAATAAAAAAAAATTAGCCGGGTGTGGTGGTGGGCGCCTGTAGTCCCTGCTACTGAGGCAGGAGAACGGTGTGAACCCGGGAGGCAGTGGTTGCAGTGAGCCGAGATCATGCCACTGCACTCCAGCCTGGGCAACAGAGCAAGACTCCGTCTCAAAAAGGAAACTATCTGATTTAAAAAAAGGAAGACAGCATCAGTGAGCTGTGGAACAAGATCAAGTGGCTTGAACACATATAGAATTGTAGTCCCACATTTTTGGGGGACTAGAAGAGGACAGTGGAAAAAAAAAGTAATAACAGAGGTTTTTGTAGTGAAGCTGGAAATGATGGAAAACTAAGGGACTAGAAAAATCCAGACCTTAGAAGGCAGGCCCGTCAGCAAGAGAGAGACAGCACAGGGTACTATATAAGGCTTAGCCTGAGCCAGGCACAGTGGCTCATGCATATAATCCCAGCACTTGGGAGGCTGAGGTGGGCGGATCACTTGAGTCCAGGAGTTCAAGACTGGCCTGGGCAACATGGTGAAACCCCATCTCTGAAGCAAAAACATACAAAATTAGCTGGGCATGGTGGCACATACCTGTGGTCCCAGCTACTCAAGAGGCTAAGGCAGGAGAACTGCTTCCAACCTGAAAGGTGGAGGCAGTGAGCTGAGATCATGCCATACTCCAGCCTGGGCACTGGGCAACAGAAGGAGACTGTCTTTAAAAAAAAAAAAAAAAAAAAGGTCAGGCGCAGTGGCTTCATGCCTGTAATCCCAGCACTTTGGGAGGCTGAGGTGTGGATCACGAAGCTGTGAGATTGAGACCATCCTGGCTAACACTGTGAAACCCCGTCTCTACTAAAAATAATAATAAAAAAATTAGCCGGGTGTGGTGGTGGGCGCGCCTGCAGTCCCTGCTACTGAGGCAGGAGAACGGTGTGAACCCGGGAGGCGGAGGTTGCAGTGAGCCGAGATCAGGCCACTGCACTCCAGCCTGGGCAACAGAGCAAGACTCCGTCTCTCAAAAAAGAAAAACTCCGTCAAAAAAAAAAAAAAAAAAAAAAAAAAAAGGTTTAGTTGGGGCAAGATGGGACACTCACTACCCCCTTGGGTTTCCAAAGAGGGAAGGAAATTTTTAGTTTCTCAGGTTAGGGGAGAAAGTCAACAGTTCTTGATAGGAAAAAAAGGAAAATCTTTTCACCCTCTTTTGACCTTAAAATGATCATTTCCTTACATTCTTTCCAAAGAATCTTCAGTACCATCTAGGTGGCATTCATAAATGCTTAAACTTTTCTTATTCTTTCTGCAAGGGAAGTACTTTCCTACTTCTTATATTAATAATTTCCCCACCCCTGAAGTCTTCAACTCCAACTGACAGTTTTAAACTTAGAACATTCTTTCCTATTTGTTTTTAATAATGCTAGGTAATGTATTCAAAATAATCTTAGTATCTGAAGAGGAAATGAGATTATACATTATTCCCTCTAACATAACTTCTCAGTTTGTTATTTTGTCAATTAAAAATAATTATATTTCCGAAGATATGTGCTCCTTGTGTCCTCTAGCCTCTTAAAAGTAACAGGGACACTTAATTTTTTTTTGGTATCTGATTATACTTACAAAGTATATGATTATCTGAAAACAAATGCGACAAAATATAAGACTGTAATAACACGATGAAAAGAGATAGAAAAAACATGGCATTTATATTAAATGTACTTTTATGACTAAATTTGTTCTAACATAAAAGTTGTTTATCCCTGCCAATGACATCTTGTGGGGGAAAAAAATGAGTACTCACCTGGCAAAAACAGGAATTGTCTCCTCAAACGAGAGCTTACTCTTGATATACACAGCGTTCTACCATATCAAGGGCATCAGAGAATTGCTGTAAAAACCTACTGTCTATGTCATCTGCAGGAAAGGGACACGGTAGGTATTAAAAATTAAGAAGACTTTTTTTCCCCCCCCAATTCTGGGCTCCAAAAAATTGGTAGAAGAATGCAGCGCTCATTCTTTTTCACCATTTGTCCACTTTAAGGTGAGGGGATTTGGAAAAGGACTGGCATGTGGAGAAGGAATATCGGTCAGGAATGTGGACTTTCGTTGCTAGTTCTGCCACTTCCCGATTCAGCTCTGATCGTGCAGAGCTGACCAAGCCGTGGTCCCCAGGCTCCCCTGACTCCAGGCCGCCCACGCTCACCGGGACATGCCGGCTCGCTCCCCGCAGGCTGCAGTGGGAGGGCTGGACCTGGAAGGCTCCCTCAAAACGGGTCCAAAAGCAGCTCTAGGAGTAACCGGTTCACCGAACATGGGTCCAGAATGATGCCCAAGCTCTGGGAAAGTGGAACAAAGCCACCGCCGCGAAGCAGCAGGTGTTCCAAGCTGAGGGAAGACGGGGCGGCGAGAGGCAGCCTTGCGCATGCGCGTTCCATCCAGGTGCGGCAGCCTCAGGCAGGGATTCAGAAATGTGTTGTGGAAAAGGGGGCTCGCGGCTGGTTACTAGGAGACGGGACGCTCGGGTCGGGCGCCTAGGCGCTGCGTGGGCGTGCGCCTGCGCGGCGCGGATGGGCCAGGAAGAGGTCCCTCCTAGGTGCCCTGTAAGGCAGGCAGGTGGACGTACGCGTCGCTCCGTGCGTAAGTGCGCGCGCACGGCTTGTAGTCCCCGCGAGAGGGAAGGTCGAGCCAGGTACGCGTGCGCATCGGGCCTGGGGGCGAGCGGGACGGAAGCAAAGCTGGGGCGCCGGGGAGGTGGAAGACGAGCCCCACTCCGGTACAGAGCGTGAGGGCGGGGCCGCGGCGGCGCCGGCTGGCGCTAACCGCCCCCGCCTCCTTCCGGCCGGCTCCCTCCTTCCTCCGATTCGCCGGGGCGGGGCCGGGACGATTTGGGGGTGGGAAAGGAGGAGAAAGGGGCGGAGGATGGAGACGGGGCGGTTCTCGTATTCCCCGCGGAGGCCGAGACCTGGCAGTCGCGGGGATGAGCTCTGGGCAGGACGGCGGGCCGAGGAGCCCGGGGAGGGACCCGGAGCTCCAGGTAGAAGCTGCGGAGATGCGCAGGGTGGGGAGACCGCTGCTTCTGGGCCAGAAGGTCTCTGAGAAGGCGGCTGCAAGCGGGCGGGAGTGGCGGGTGCGGGGCCGTGGCGGGCGGAGGTGGGCGCTCGCCGCGGGAGCCGCTGTGAGGGGCAGCGGCGGGCACAGCTGGCGGCCGGAAGCTTAGCAGCACGCGTTGCCCCTGCTTCTTGGGAGGTTAGGTTTGAGCCCAGTTCCTATGGTCACCGCTTCGCGTCCTCCCGCAGCTCTCCGCTTGGTTGTTGGGGGGACTGTTCAGGTTAGAAACGCTCTGGAAGCTCTGGTGGAGCCGAGGAATTTGGAAGTCACAGATTTGGGAGTTCAACCTGACTCCCGATCGCTCATTTCTGAGCCTCTGTCTAGACTTGGGGTGGTGAAAGGCTGAGATTACATAGGCATTTGCATGAAAATCTGATAATTTTAGTAAAAATTATACACAGTAAAGGCAGGGGAAGCTGGCTTTTGTTGAAAAACTATTTGAGACTTAAATTGGATAACTAGGTGATCATGGACTTGATACCTAAAAACTCACAGAAATATGGTTTTTTTTTTCACTTTTTTTGTTCCCGCGACTTCAGGAAGGTTTGCATAGATTGCAGTGTCCCAGCGTTTTCCTTCTTCCATTCCAGGACCTTATATCCTAGGAGATTTCCTTGTTTAAAATTCTCTGTACTGGTGTTCAGCATTTCAAGTATACTTTGTTTACGTGTAAGGACATAAATAGAATAACAATAGGTTTGTAAGTAGAAAAAAACAGGTTAGTTATAGAAGTAGGATGTCACATTCGAATCTGCTTCCAGGATAAGACAGATTCTTGTTGGTATTTTAATTGATTAATGAGCCAAACTCTTCAGTCTTAGTGGGAAATAACTAGGAAGGTACATTAATGAAATATTAATTTTAAATCCTAAACTTTGGCATTATTTAATGGCAGCTTCCAAAATATTTCTCGTATTGTTTACCTTCTGAAGAAAAATCACTGCTTGTAGCTCAGAATATAATCAGGTGTAGAGATTCTCTGGGAGATCTTTTCTGTCTGCTTTTTCAGTTGCTTAGACTAGTTTGTTTAGGACGATTTGGTTTTGAAGTCCTCCACACACAGAGGCAGTTAGAAGTATGATTATTTATCTCCTTTTCAGATTACATGTTTCTTTCCGTCCCCACAGATGGCCACTCTCCTGACTTCTAAGAGCCACTTCCTTGATTTTCCTGAATGTTTCACATCATTGTATGTGAACATGCACGTTACAGTTTGGCTTGTTTTTGAACTTCGTACAAATGGGATTGTACTAAGTATTCATTTACATCTTGCTTCTTTACTCAACATTTTTTTTAAGATTAATCTTTATCGTTGCTCTCAGTATTTAGTTTGGTGATTGTTTCCCCAAATATTTATCCACTTATTATATAAAGTCCTCTCTCAAAATTATTCATAAATCTTGTATGGTTTTCCACATGCTTCTGTTAGTGAGGCTGTTCCTTCCTACTTCAATGTCTATAAGTCTACGCTTTTGGAGACAATATTGTTTTAAAAAAAACCCCACCTCAACTGTAGTAAACTTTTGTGCAACTAGATTTCAGAATTCCATATGAAGTAGTCCAGTATTTTCCATTCTATCAAAAAATTAAATAATTTGTTGAATACATATTATGTGCTTCATATTTTGCTCAACACTGATGGTACTTTTTATTATATAATTTTATTTCCTGTTTCACTGAAAAATTAAAATTCAACCAGACAGAACCTTCCTCAGATTTCCATGCCACTTACCTTTTTTTTTTTTTGAGACATGATCTCACTCTGTTGCCCAGGCTGGAGTGCAATGGTGCGATCATGACTCATTGCAGCCTTGACCTCCCGGACTCAAGTGATTCTCCTATCTCAGTCTCCCAAGTAGCTGGGACCACGGGTGGATGCCACTATGCCTGGCTAATTTCTTTTTTCTTTTTTTTAGAGACAGGGACTCACTATGTTGTCCAGGTTGGTCTCAAATTCCTGGGCTCAAGTGATCCTCCGGCCTTGGCCTCCCAAAGTGCGCGGATTATTGGGATTACAAGTGTCTAAATCTTCACCTGTCTTTGCTTTTCTCTTTCTTGTCTCAGGGCAATACATATTTACCTGGGTTTCCTCTTATTACCTCAGCTGTCTTTCTCCATCAATTAACATTAACTCATGCCTTAGGAATCTTCATTGTTTCTGTACTGTAGGACTTCTTCACCTGGAGTCCAAGGACCTTAGAGAGTCTTAAATCCCCTGAAATTGTTTGTAAAGGTATATTTGCATTTTTCTGAGGAAAGGCTGCAGGGCTTTTAATTCTGAAAGAGGTTCCTTATGTAAAGAGAATTAAGGAACAAGTTTTTCTCCTCCTGTAATGACCTTTCCACAACCTTGGTCGTCTTCCATCTTTGTTCTGCCTCTCTTCCTCTCACAGTCATGCTTCCTAAAAGAAGTTTACATTTTCCATTTTTTTTCTTTCATATTCATTCATTAGTCCCCTTCAGACTTGTTTTCACCCACCATTGAAACTGCTTTGTTCGAATCATTAAATTTTCTTATTTTGAAAATGTTTTACTGCGTTTCACCTTTGTGCTGGGCACTTTTAAGGCATTAGGGATAAAACAGAGACAGGACAAAAACTTAGGGCTCTGGAATGTTATATTCTAGTAGGGGGAGGTAGTAAACAAGTGAGCAAATAAATGATATAATTTCAAGTAGTGATAAGTGCAAATAGCTTATCACTTATTTGAGAGAGTGACTGGGAGAGAGGCTACTTTAGGTAAGTAGTCAGGGAGGCCCTCTGACATTTCAGCCAAGGAGCTGAGGGTGAGAAGATAGCCATGTGAAAGGCTGGGTAGAAAGTGTTCCTGAGAGGAAAAGCAAGAGCAGAGGACTTGAAGTCAAATGATATTGGCACATATGTTAGTCCATTCAGGCTGCTATAATGAAATAACATAAGCTGCAGAAATTTAAATCTTACAGTTCTGGAGACTGGGAGTTCTAAGATCAAGTTGCCAGCAGAATCAATGTGTGGTGTTTTTTGGTTTATAGGTGGTACCTTCAGACTGTGTCCTCATGTGTTAGACGGGGTGAGGGAGCTCTCTGGGATCTGTTATATACCGACAACTCATCATGGCCTAATCATCCCCTAAAGGCTGTGCCTTTTTTTTCTTTTTTTTTTTTTGACGTGGAGTCTCACTGTTGCTCAGGCTGGAGTGCAGTGACACGATCTCGGCTCACTGCAATAAATCCCTTCTAAGTTATTAGCAAATGTTGTTGGTTCTATCTTCAAATATATAGTCTAAATCCATCTACTTCTCTATATTTTTGTTACCACCTCCCTGGTCCAAGTCACCATCATCTCCCACCTAGAATACTGCAACCGTTCCCTGCTGTCTTTCTGCTTCTATTGTGGCACCCTACAACCTATTCTGCACACGGAAATCAATCACTTCAAAATAATGAGATCCCGTGGGAGGGGAGAAGGGAGAGGGAAAAAAACGAAAAAGAAAACTATAATAAAATGATCCTGGCTCAAAAATACACCAATGGCTTCCCACTGCAAGTAAGAATAAAATCCAGGCTGGGTGCCGTGGCTCACGCCTGTAATCCCAGCAGTTTGGGAGGCTGAGGCAGGCAGATCACAAGGTCGATAGATCGAGACCATCCTGGCCAACATAGTGAAACCCTGGCTCTACTAAAAATACAAAAATTAGCTGGACGTGGTGGTGTATGCCTGTAATCCTAGCTACTCGGGAGGCTGAGGCAGGAGAATCATTTGAACCAGGGAGTCAGAGGTTGCGGTGAGCCGGGATCGCGCCACTGCACTCCAG